GAGTACAGGTCTTTTACCTCCTTAGTTAAGTCTATTCCTAGGTATCTTAATTATTTTTGCCGCAATGATAAATGGGATTGTTCTTTTAGTTTCTCTTTCTGTGAGTTCATTACTGATATATAAGAATGCCGTCAATTTTTAGGGTTTTCTGTGCACAATATTATATCATCTGTGAATAATGACAGTTTTACTTCCACCTTTCCAACTTGGATGCCTTTTATTTTTCTTCTTGTTTGATTGCTGTGGCTGTGTATAAATTCTTATTTGCATTTTTCTGGAGGCTTTTCAAGCCATCTGAGACCAAAAAAATGGTTACAGATGACTAGATAGAAATTCAAGATCCTGCGATTGAACTACATATGTCTTGTAATCAGGATATACCGTGGTGGTGGTGATTTATTTTGTATTTAAGGAAATTGTCTTTAAAACAAATCTCTGTTTTAAATCAAGCTTGTCACTGAATGTGATTCTGTGATTCTGCTTTGGTTGTTGAATCAGGACCAATATGGTGACCTTTTTGCACTAAATGCTGCATGGAAACCCAAAGAGAACAGGAGCGCCATCTAGGGGTCCTGACAACAATGTCACATTTGGAATCGCCCAGGCCTTCTCCCCTACACAGGGGTCTTCCTTCCCTCCCTGCCTCCCTCCCTCTCTCCCTTCCTCCCTCTCCCCTTCCCTCTCCTCCCCTCCCGTCTTTCTTCCCTCTCTCCCTCCCTCCCTTCCTGTTACAGATGTTTCTCCTTTTTCCCCTGTTGTTACCCTCCTCTCCCTCCCTCCCCGCCCTGTCCCGAGCTTTGCTGTCCATGTCCATTGTTCATGCACACATGCATATAAGTTCTGTGGTTTATCTCCCCCCCACTTCTTCTGGGGATTGCCAGTCTGTACCCCACTTCCACGTCTCTGGGACTACCCTGTTCTTTAGACTCTACACAGGTGTCTTTAGCTTTAGTAACTTTCTAAATTAAGAACACTTTTTCCCTCAAGTAATTGCAAACCATAAAGGTGTGTGTCAATATTTATAACCTATTCAGATGTTATATTTGTGGGTTCTCTTCTTGCTACTCTGGGAACATAATTTTAATAGAAGCTTAATATTGTAGATAGTATTAATTAGGAGTATTTTGCCTTAATTTCTCTTAGTGTTTCTTTCAAGATGGTGATATAGAGTCGTGTCTGCCAAATGCTGTGGGGATGGTGGGGCCGCGGAGCCGAGTTCACCCTGGAGACGCGCACGGTCAGCACGCAGTGGGGAGGCGGGACGGGTGGCGGGGCATGCTCCAGGCCCGCTGCGCTGCTGCGCTGCGGTGCGTCCATTAGCTTGTTTCTTCTGCTCTTGTAGATGGTGCTGATAATAGTGTCTAGTTTAAAGTTGTTGTGGAGATTAAATGAAATAAAGTTGGTAATCCCAGTGCCTGATATATAAAGAGCCTTGTAAAATTAGCAACACTTTATTTTTGTTAGTGTCACTGGCTAGTTTTGTTTTCAGGACAGCTGTAATGAAATAGAAACAGAAAATTTTAGACCTATAACTTATAGAAGTTTATAGTTTTAAAAAGCATTTTCACAAATACCAACTTGTTTGGTTACAGCGGTTGGTGAATGTCCTTCGCGCGCCCAGTGGCTGTGTGGAGCTGCTGCAGGAGGGGCACCGCCTTGGTGGAGCTTGTTTGGTTACAGTGGTCGGTGAATGTTCTTCGCGCACCCAGTGGCTGTGTGGAGCTCCTGCAGGAGGGGCACCGCCTTGGTGGAGCTTGTTTGGTTACAGTGGTCGGTGAATGTCCTTCGCGCGCCCAGTGGCTGTGTGGAGCTGCTGCAGGAGGGGCACCGCCTTGGTGGTGGAGCTTGTTTGGTTACAGTGGTCGGTGAATGTCCTTCGCGCACCCAGTGGCTGTGTGGAGCTGCTGCAGGAGGGGCACCGCCTTGGTGGTGGAGCTTGTTTGGTTACAGTGGTCGGTGAATGTCCTTCGCGCACCCAGTGGCTGTGTGGAGCTGCTGCAGGAGGGGCACCGCCTTGGTGGAGCTTGTTTGGTTACAGTGGTCGGTGAATGTTCTTCGCGCACCCAGTGGCTGTGTGGAGCTCCTGCAGGAGGGGCACCGCCTTGGTGGAGCTTGTTTGGTTACAGTGGTCGGTGAATGTCCTTCGCGCGCCCAGTGGCTGTGTGGAGCTCCTGCAGGAGGGGCACCGCCTTGGTGGAGCTTGTTTGGTTACAGTGGTCGGTGAATGTTCTTCGCGCGCCCAGTGGCTGTGTGGAGCTGCTGCAGGTGGGGCACCGCCTTGGTGGAGCTTGTTTGGTTACAGTGGTCGGTGAATGTCCTTCGCGCACCCAGTGGCTGTGTGGAGCTGCTGCAGGTGGGGCACCGCCTTGGTGGAGCTTGTTTGGTTACAGTGGTCGGTGAATGTCCTTCGCGCACCCAGTGGCTGTGTGGAGCTCCTGCAGGAGGGGCACCGCCTTGGTGGTGGAGCTTGTTTGGTTACAGTGGTCGGTGAATGTCCTTCGCGCGCCCAGTGGCTGTGTGGAGCTCCTGCAGGAGGGGCACCGCCTTGGTGGAGCTTGTTTGGTTACAGTGGTCGGTGAATGTCCTTCGCGCGCCCAGTGGCTGTGTGGAGCTCCTGCAGGAGGGGCACCGCCTTGGTGGAGCTTGTTTGGTTACAGTGGTCGGTGAATGTCCTTCGCGCGCCCAGTGGCTGTGTGGAGCTCCTGCAGGAGGGGCACCGCCTTGGTGGTGGAGCTTGTTTGGTTACAGTGGTCGGTGAATGTCCTTCGCGCGCCCAGTGGCTGTGTGGAGCTCCTGCAGGAGCGGCACCGCCTTGGTGGAGCTTGTTTGGTTACAGTGGTCGGTGAATGTCCTTCGCGCGCCCAGTGGCTGTGTGGAGCTGCTGCAGGAGGGGCACCGCCTTGGTGGTGGAGCTTGTTTGGTTACAGTGGTCGGTGAATGTTCTTCGCGCGCCCAGTGGCTGTGTGGAGCTCCTGCAGGAGGGGCACCGCCTTGGTGGAGCTTGTTTGGTTACAGTGGTCGGTGAATGTTCTTCACGTGCCCAGTGGCTGTGTGGAGCTCCTGCAGGAGGGGCACCGCCTTGGTGGAGCTTGTTTGGTTACAGTGGTCGGTGAATGTCCTTCGCGCACCCAGTGGCTGTGTGGAGCTCCTGCAGGAGGGGCACCGCCTTGGTGGAGCTTGTTTGGTTACAGTGGTCGGTGAATGTTCTTCACGTGCCCAGTGGCTGTGTGGAGCTGCTGCAGGAGGGGCACCGCCTTGGTGGTGGAGCTTGGTCCTGGAGACAGCAGGGGGCATGGACCTTCCACTGTCGCGGTGGCGGGGGTGCGGGCAGTTAGGCGCCAGGCAGGTACATGAAAAACAAGATGGTTTCACGAACAGGTCATTGATGTGCGGAAAGTGGTGTGATGCACCACTGAGTGACTGGAGGCTGTGTCGAGGTGGCCGTCAAAGAGCGTCTGAGGAAGTGACATTAGCTCTTACCCAGATGACAGGGAGCCAGCCGTGCGAAGGTCCGAGGAGCAGCCATTGCAGCTGCAGGAGACGGCAGGTGCAGAGGCCGGCGCTGGGGTGTGAAGCATGTGCCGCTGGGCCCAGTGCGGTGCGGGGCGGCGGGGTGTGGTCACAGACCGGGGCTGCAGGCTGCAGGCGGACTTGAGAGTTTATTCTGAGGGTTACGGAAGCGTTTGGAGAATCGTAGGCAAGGTGGCAACGTGCCCAGATTTGTGTCTTAGAAATAGGCCCTTCGCTCATCTGTGGAGCAAGCGTGGAGGCAGGAGAGCCGCGCGGGAGACCTTATGGTCTCAGTGAGAGGTGGCCGTGTCCTGGATGCAGGTGCCGAGAGAACGTCTCGGGAGGTAGGTCCCGCACAGCTCTGTGCCGTGCATGCGTGTGGTTTGAAACCTGATCGCACATGTGACCTGGGACGGCGCCGTCCTTCCTCCTAGCCTGCTCTCAGTAGACGAGATGGCCGCAGTTGCTCGGAAGTGGCGAGCGTGTGTCCTCGCCATCGTCACCGCCTTCGTCTCAGCACATCCCCATCCTCCTCGGTGCCGCCAGTTTACAGATGAGAAAACACCGAGGGTGGTTTTGAAAATCAAAATACAAAGTTTTTGATTTTGAATCCATTATTTGTTCAGCAATATATTAGGTAGTGTGAGCTCCCAGCGAGAAATGCCTGTCGGTGTGAATCTGTAGCTGGGAGTCCAGTTGCACCTGGGACACTCCCGCAGCACAGAGACGTGTGAGGCCGTGAGCGTCCTGGTGTGTGAAGGAGACGCCGGTGCCGCCCCTGCCCGGCCTGGAACCCAGAGTGTGACGCCCTGAGTGCTGATGAGAGCTTGGGTCCCCTGAAGCCAAAGCTTTTGTGTGCGCAGCGTGATCCCTGTAGGAGGAAAGAAGTCACTATTTCGAGGACCTTATGAGATACTGAATCTCGTTTGAGGACAATCAATTGTGTTAAATGGGGCCATACTTAATATAAATGGATTATCCCCAGACTTTTTCTTTCTTTTTTTTTATTTTTATTTTTTGTTAATCCTCACCCAAGGATATTTTTTCATTGATTTTTAGATAGAGATAAAGTAGAAGGGAGGAAAAGAGAGAAAGAGAAACATCGATGGGAAAGAGACACATCAACTGGGTTGCCTCCTGCACAACCCCACCGGAGCCAGTGTTCAAACCTGCAACCCAGATTTGGGCCTTTGACCAGGAATCAAACCCGAGACCTGCAGGCCAGCGCTTTAACCACTAAGAAACCGGCCAGACTCCAGAGTTTTTCTAATCGGACTCTTAGTGAAGGTGTTAACCAGATTGGACTTTCCCTTCTCTCCACCTCTTTCCACCCTGCCCTGCCCCGGCCCGTCTGAAGTGAGCAGTGACGTAGGTGAGGAGCAAGGAGCCAGAGACAAATGAAAAGCAAGGAGCTGACTGTCCCTGCTCCTTGCCTCAGGAGGCGTCGCTGGCGCCCCCTTGCGCGGTTTACAGCGGACTCTCTGTTGCAGAGTGTGAGCACTTGATCCGCCACATGCTGGTGCTGGACCCTGGCAAGCGCCTCTCCATGGAGCAGATCTGCAAGCACAAGTGGATGAAGCTGGGGGAAGCGGACCCCAACTTTGACAGGGTGAGCACACCGCTTGCCTTGGGGACTCTTCTCGGAACTGCTGGATCTCCTACGCATGAGATTGCGATCGGGCCAGGGCGAGATGAGGCAGCGCTGGGAACAGATGGTTGTGTGAGACTCAAGGAGCGAAAGCAGCAATTTTAAACCAGCAGAGTTGTTGGAGAATAGTGATCCCAGTTCCATACTACTTGTCCCCAAATCAGTCTCCTCTTGGCTTTTGAGACAGTACAGGCCACAGTTCCACAGATTACCCACCATGGGGATGTCTCCTTGTCATAGTGTGCATAGTTCAGTGGCTCCTGTAGCAGACCTTTATTCAAACCATGATGGCCATCCCAGGTACCCCACAGTTGCTCAGGAAAATGGGGATCTCGTCTGCTCAGAGCTGAGTGCCCGGGGCTTTGTCTGAGGCCCAAAATATCCCAAGCTGAGGACATGGAACAGCAGTTTGATGTGTAAGGACATGGGTATGTGATGTGTCCTCTTAGCGTGGCTATTGGGGGTTTGATGCCTCACCTTTCTATGTTACAGTTAATAGCTGAATGCCGACAACTGAAAGAAGAAAGACAGGTAGACCTTTTGAATGAGGATGTCCTCTTGGCCATGGAGGACATGGGACTGGACAGAGAGCGGACACTACAGGTATCTGAAGGAATGGAGGGCACAGTGAGATGTAGCCGTGTTTCCTCTGTCCTGCCTTTTTCCTCTTCCTGGGATGTTGGGTCTTTTTTATTTAAATAATTAAAAAATTTTTTCAATTATAAGTTGACACACACTTATATTAGTTGCAGATGTATATTAGATATTTATATAACTAACAAAGTGTTTCCCCAGTAAGTCTAGTACTCATCTGACACCATACGGAGTTATTACAGTATTATTGACGACATTCCCTATGGTGTATTTTACATCCCCAGACTATGTTTTTAAAATTTTTTCTTTATTGATTTTAGAGAGAGAGAGATAGAGACATCGATAAGAGAGAACATCGGTTGGCCGCCTCCTGCACGCCCCCAGCTGGGGATCAGGCCCACAGCCTGGGCATGTACCCTGACCGGGAATCAAACTAGCAACCTCTTGGTGCAAGGTCGACACTCAGCCACTGAGCCACACCAGCTGGGCCCCATGACTGTTTTGTAGCCACCAATCTGTACTTCTTAATCCCATCTCCTTTTTCATCCCCACCCCCCACCCCCATCTGGCGACCATCAGGATTGGGTCTTTTTGTTTTCCTCCAGTTCTTATGCCCTTCTGTGGACCTTGGAAAGAAGGTGCTTTGGTCTTACAAAGTCACTGTGGACAGAGTAGCCGCCGACATGCCCCTTCACCAGGCTCTGCTCTGTTCCTCTCTCCCCTGGCAGTCGTTACGGTCAGATGCCTATGACCACTACAGTGCGATCTACAGCCTGCTGTGCGATCGACACAAGAGACACAAAGCCCTGCGTGCCGGAGCGCCTCCCAGCATGCCCCGGGCCATGGCCTTTCAGGCACCAGTCAACACTCAGGTGGGCAATAGAGACATGAACTCTGCGTGCTGGAGCGCCTCCCAGCATGCCCCGGGCCATGGCCTTTCAGGCACCAGTCAACACCCAGGTGGGCAATAGCTCCCATGGCCTGGTTCAGGGCCGGTGACATGTGGGTAGGGTTGGAGGGTGCTTAGCCACTTCTCAGGAACTGTTTATATATATGTTTTTATTGATTTTTTTTTTAGAGAGAGAGGAAGGGAGAGAGAGAGAGAAACATTCAAGTGAGAGAGAAACTTCTATCAGGTGCCTCCTGCACGCCCCCTACTGGGGATGGAGCCCACAACCCTGGGCATGTGCCCTGACTGGGAATAGATCTGGGACCACTCAATCCATGGGACAATGCTCAATCCACTGAGCAACACCGGCCGGGCTGCTCAGAAACTCCTAAGTCAAGAGCATTACCTGCTCTTAACTCTGTCTCATCCATCTGTCACCTCTTCTTTTGTCAGAGATCAAGCAAAGATCTGAACTTTTCTTAGAGAGGATGGAAAGGTGTTCAAGTACTCAAGATGGATAGCAGTAGTTGCAGTTTTGTTGTTTTTTAAAGAAGTAGCGAATCATTGAGGCTATTGTCTCTCAAACAAAAAATGCTTTCTTAATGTAGCTTCTGCGGGTAGAGGAACCAAAGATTCAGAGGTAGAAACAGACTTTAGCACTCAAGAATACTTTGAGCCCTGGCTGGGAGGCTCAGTTGGTTGGAGCATCGTCCCCTACATCAAAAGGGTTTGATTCCCGGTCAGGAGAGTGTATGGGGAGGTAACTGATTGATGTCTCTCTCTCCCTCCTTCCCTTTCTTCCTTCCTCACTCCCCGTCCCCCGTGCCTTCTTCCTCACTCTCTCTCTCTTGCTCCCTTTCTCTCTAAAATCAATAAAAGCATATCCTCAGGTGAGGATTTTAAAAAAGGCAACTTTGAAAGACTGCACTTCCTGTGGTGTGTAAGGGGTGTAAGGGGTGTGTGCTCTTTCCAGGCGGAGCAGGCCAGCGCCGCCATGAGCATCAGCGTCCCCCAGGTGCAGCTGATCAACCCAGAGAACCAGATCGTGGAGGCAAGTAGCAGCCTGTCAGCGGAGGCACTTTCTTTCCCGTGGTCTTGCTTCCTTCCTTCCTTCTGATTCTAATTCTAGTTTCTAATTCAGTTGTGTTTTCCTTCACTTCAGCCGGATGGGACAGTGAACTTGGACAGTGACGAGGGTGAGGAGCCTTCCCCGGAAGCACTGGTGCGCTACTTGTCCATGAGGAGGCACACGGTGGGCGTGGCTGACCCACGGTGAGCACCTGGCCGGCAGGGACTTAACGCCAGGGCCAAGCATTCCCACCCGCTGAGCTGCTATGTTGGTGCATTTTTCCTACTTCATTGTATCTCCCAGATGAAATCTAATTCAGTGGCCAAGTCATGTTCTTAACCCAGTTCAGGGTCCCAGATAGACCAATTTGCTTTGCTAAAAATATTAAAGAGCTGCCCCTCGTGGTGGGCCAGTGACCACCATCATGGCCATCGCTCACAGCAGTTTGGTGAAGAGGATGATCGTCTCTGCCCACAAAGACGGGTCTCTGGTCTAAGGCACACGAAAGTGCCCTCAGCGCCCACCGCCCTTGGCAGCTTCTCAAGGTGCTGGCCACCCGAGCTGCTGCAGGACTCTTCCGGGCGGTGCGGCCAGGAGAAGGTGCGATTTGTGTGTGTGACAGACTAGGTGAAGTGGACAAGGATTGAAAAGAGCACTGAATAAGTACAGTTTCCCAAAATAGCCCTTCAGCATGTTCCTGATGCCCTCACACTGGGGAGCCGGCCTGAAGGGCAGCTCTCCCTTCTTTTTTAATTGTATTTATTTTATCTTTATTGCAGCGATAGAGTATTTTGTAGAGAAAAGAGTATTACAGATGTTCCCCTCCCTCCTTTTTTTCCCATTACCCTCCTCTACCTGGTTTCCATCCTGTCCATGGGTAATGCATATATGCGTATAAGTTCTTTGGTTAATCTCTTCCCACCCCACCTTTCTTTTTCCCTGTGAGATTCATCCGTCTCTTCCATGCCTCTTGTTCATCAGTTTATTTTGTGCATTAGATTCCACATTTAAGTGAGATCATGTGATACTTGTCTTTCTCTGACTGGCTTATTTCACTTAGCATAATACTCTACAGGTCCATCCATGCTGTCTCAAAGAGTAATTGATCTTTTTTACAGCTGCATAGTATTCCATTGTGTACACATACCACAGCTTTTTTATCCACTCATCTACTGATGGACACTTGGGCTGTTTCCAGATCTTAGCTATTGTAAATAGTGCTGCTGTGAACATAGGGGTGCATATATTCTTTCTGATTGGTGTTTCGGGATTCTTAGGATATATTCCTAGAAGACCGGCTCTCTCCTTTTTTGTTCTACATTTTAAGACTCTCAACATTAAAAATACCCTTACGTCTTTTCTGTATATTTCTTTTACTGAGTAGAGAAGATTAGATTGTGTCAAGAGTTCTCTTGAGAGTTCAATTAGGGACAAAGCTACTTTTTTATAAATACCTCTTTTCTCTAAGTGATTTCCAGAAAAACATCCCCAGGCTTGCTTATTTGCTTGCTTTATATTTCTCATTCTTGGCCTACATTCCAACTGGCAATAGGGGAACATCCTGGCTCCAGACCGTGTTTGCATTGCTGCTCTGCTAGTGGAAGACCTCTTCCTTTAAAGTGTCCTGTGCTGCGTCTCTGCCCTGCCATCCCCACTACTCTGTCCTGTCTGCACCGAAGGAAGAATTGTGTCCTTCCCTGGGGAATGGGTTGCTGCCTCAGGCAGCCATGGCTCGAGTGGGGGGCTCACCTCCGGACTCCGCAGCCCGGAGCTGGACGGTGCTAGAACTGCCGGTTTGACACGAGTGTCGGTGAAGAAGAGCAGTCCCCAGTTCCAGACCGTGGTGGCAGAGAGCCAGCTTCCACACACTAGGGTTGAGAGAGAAATACAACTTTAGGGAAAAAGTTAAAAATATATAATAGAACAAATTGTACTGACCTTATCAGTTTTGGGTCATAGCACTTTTGAGTAAGAATAGTAACCAGACGCGTGTCGCCCTGTTTCTCACAGCATGGAAGTCATGGACGATCTGCAGAAGCTGTTCCCTGGCTTCCCTGGGGTCAGCCCGCAGGCCCCACTCCTCCAGGTGGCCCCCAACATGAGCCTCGTGCACAGCCCGCTGCCCGTGCAGCCTCTGCAGCCGGCGGGGCCGCTCGAGTACAAGGTACCCAATGGGAGGGGGCTTACCCAGGTTTAGGGGTTTCCCTGGAGAGAAGGACGATTTCTCCTGCAGAGCATCTGGGTGAGAGGGGAGACCTCTCGTCTCCATCACAACCAAAGGGTCCCTGAACGTCAGTAGCTCAGAGGACCACTGTTGAGTCTCCACCCTCCCCCACCTCACCAACCTGTTCTTCCCACTCCACTCCTGACAGGAACAGTCCCTCCTACAGCCGCCCCCCCTTCAGCTGCTGAACGGAATGGGTCCCCTTGGCCGGAGGGCATCGGACGGAGGAGCCAATATCCAGTTACATGCCCAGCAGCTGCTGAAGCGCCCGCGGGGACCCTCCCCGCTTGTCACCATGACACCAGTGAGTAGCAGCAGGGAGCCCAGCGAACGCACGGAGGCTTTTGATAGTGAGGTTGTGGACATAGGAGAAGAAAACAGGACCTCCAGCCTGAATGTCTGAATTTCCTCTTCTTCCCTTATGGTGCACAGTGTGTGCCCATTGTTCTCAAGCTAATAGAATTGTCCAGGTTTAATTCTGGCTCAGTTCTCTTCTTAACCAAATAATTAATGCCCCAATGAGACCTGCTCCCAGAGAGCCTCGCCCTCAGCAGGCCCCGCCCCTGACCACACCCATCTTCCCCATCTCCACCCTCTGGGCTTGTCTCTGCCCCAGGGCAGTGCCGCCCAGCGTCTTCTCCTGATAACTGTTTTTACCTTGGTTCCCAAATTCCCCCTGGTTAACACCGCCACTTCCGGTCTCAGTGCCTCTCAGTGCCCGAAGGTGCTTGCCCCGCCCGAGCCCTGGGTTCTGTCTGTTGCTTGTGGTTTTCCCGTCACAGGTAAAGTCATTCATTTATTCATTTGCTTACTCAGTCTCACAGTACCGCATGATTGGATAGTAATGACATTCGTAGCTCTTTAAAATCTTTCTATTTTTTAAGATTTTTAAACATTTTTAAAATCTCACTCTATTTCTGCACTTACCTTATCGTGGATTAGTGACACCGCAGTTTGTGAGTGGCACCGGTCCACGGGGCATGCCTTCAGTAACAGTGCTGTCGGCAAAGGGAAAAAATTATATTTACAGTTCTTGGCCTCACTGAACTTACAGTGTGTGAAGTGTTGGAATCATAGTGAGAGACCACGAGTGATTCAGGGCAGAGGGGAGACCACGGACTCGCAGGCGGCAGGAGCCCTCGGGGCGGAGCGAGATGAGGGACCCGCACAGCTGGGGGAGGCGGAGCCACCTGCTCCTGCCCACCGCACCTGTTTCTGCTACGATCAGGAACACGCTTTGTTCGTAGACCAGTGGACGTCTTTAACTTTGTCTTTTCAGACCTCCCAACTGTATGAGTCACTGTTGATTGTTTCTCTTTGAAGTATTTTCTTTTGTTCTTTTCAGGTTCCCTTTCTGCTTTTCCTTAAAGTTGGTGAAACCCAGAGTTCTATCTTAGGCCTTATTTCTGTCTCTTTTTACATACTCTGGATGACCTTGTCCACTCCCATAATTTCAGTTACCAGGTGATCCTGCAGCCCAGCATGCTCTTCTGATACAGACACACCCACACCCACATACGTACACATCTGTCTGCCTCCTGCGCAGACTCAGTTGGCTACCCCACAGGCGCTCAGTTTCCTTCAGCATGTCCCAAAAGGAACTTCCTGACTCTAAAACCTTCCCCCCCCAAGTGACTGATGCTGCCGTTCTCCCGGTTACAAGCTGGGAACGTGGATCTTATCTTCAGCTCCTCCCTTTCCCTTATTCCCATATCACATGATTTACCAGTGCCTGTAAAGTGAGCGTCTGCTGCGCTCCACCCTCTGTCCTTCCCGGAGCCACTGTCATCCTTTGCCTGAATGAACACCGTGACCTCACTAGCTTAAGAGAACTCACTGTGCAGCTTGAGGAAACTAGCTTTCTAAAATGTGAGTCTTGTAACATCGTGTCTCTGCTTGAAGTCCTGTGGTGGTCTCGCACTGCCCCTTCCTCAGAGTAAAGTTGTCATGTGGCCTGCAAGGCCGTCAGGAGCTGTCCACTCCTGCGACCGCAGCCACTGCCCAGCCCTGCTCACTCCAGGCCTCCCCGGACCGATAAGGGGTCTGGAAACCTAGAAACAGTTGAACAATGGAGTTATCCCAAAATTGTGTTTTATAATCATTATCTATTTCATAAAATGTTCTTGGGTAATAATTGAAGTGTGACTTCTGCCCCAGTGCCTGAGGCCGGTGATGTGAGGCAGCGTGAGGAGCTGTGGGGCCGCAGGGGCGCACGCACTGTGGGGCGGTCCTTCCACGGTCACCTGTGGTGGGCACAGCTGTTGGAAAGCATTGGGTCGAGGAGCTTGGTCGGGGGGAGCATCGTCCCGCACACTAAAAGGCTGCAGGTTCGACTTCCAGTCAGGGCACACACCTAGGTTGTAGGTGTGATCCCCGGTCTGGGAGTGTACAGGAGGCAACCAGTTAGTCGATGTTTCTCCCCTCCCCCGCTCCCCTTCGTCTCTAAAATCAAACATATGCTCGGGTGAGGATTTAAATAAAAAGGCATTGAATTGAAACTGCACAATTAGATACTACGTTCTAAAATGTACTTTAAAAAAAACCATCATGCCATTCTGGAGCTCAAGGTGCTGAGGTCTGAGAGCATCAGTGTGCGGCACAGGCCGTCCGCAGACAGGCCAGCCAGCGAGCTGGGCTGCGTGTGCAGTTCTCGGGCACCTGCAGGCCTCTCTTCTCTCAGGCCAGCCAGCGAGCTGGGCTGCGTGTGCAGTTCTCGGGCACCTGCAGGCCTCTCTTCTCTCAGGCCAGCCAGCGAGCTGGGCTGTGTGTGCAAGTTCTCGGGCACCTGCAGGCCTCTCTTCTCTCAGGCCAACCAGCGAGCTGGGCTGTGTGTGCAGTTCTCGGGCACCTGCAGGCCTCTCTTCTCTCAGGCCAACCAGCGAGCTGGGCTGCGTGTGCAAGTTCTCGGGCACCTGCAGGCCTCTCTTCTCTCAGGCCAGCCAGCGAGCTGGGCTGCGTGTGCAGTTCTCGGGCACCTGCAGGCCTCTCTTCTCTCAGGCCAACCAGCGAGCTGGGCTGTGTGTGCAGTTCTCGGGCACCTGCAGGCCTCTCTTCTCTCAGGCCAGCCAGCGAGCTGGGCTGCGTGTGCAGTTCTCGGGCACCTGCAGGCCTCTCTTCTCTCAGGCCAGCCAGCGAGCTGGGCTGCGTGTGCAGTTCTCGGGCACCTGCAGGCCTCTCTTCTCTCAGGCCAGCCAGCGAGCTGGGCTGTGTGTGCAAGTTCTCGGGCACCTGCAGGCCTCTCTTCTCTCAGGCCAGCCAGCGAGCTGGGCTGTGTGTGCAGTTCTCGGGCACCTGCAGGCCTCTCTTCTCTCAGGCCAACCAGCGAGCTGGGCTGTGTGTGCAGTTCTCGGGCACCTGCAGGCCTCTCTTCTCTCAGGCCGGCCAGCGAGCTGGGCTGTGTGTGCAGTTCTCGGGCACCTGCAGGCCTCTCTTCTCTCAGGCCAACCAGCGAGCTGGGCTGGGTGCAGTTCTCGGGCACCTGCAGGCCTCTCTTCTCTCAGGCCAACCAGCGAGCTGGGCTGTGTGTGCAGTTCTCGGGCACCTGCAGGCCTCTCTTCTCTCAGGCCAGCCAGCGAGCTGGGCTGCGTGTGCAGTTCTCGGGCACCTGCAGGCCTCTCTTCTCTCAGGCCAGCCAGCGAGCTGGGCTGCGTGTGCAGTTCTCGGGCACCTGCAGGCCTCTCTTCTCTCAGGCCGGCCAGCGAGCTGGGCTGTGTGTGCAGTTCTCGGGCACCTGCAGGCCTCTCTTCTCTCAGGCCAGCCAGCGAGCTGGGCTGCGTGTGCAGTTCTCGGGCACCTGCAGGCCTCTCTTCTCTCAGACCGGCCAGCGAGCTGGGCTGTGTGTGCAGTTCTCGGGCACCTGCAGGCCTCTCTTCTCTCAGGCCAGCCAGCGAGCTGGGCTGTGTGTGCAGTTCTCGGGCACCTGCAGGCCTCTCTTCTCTCAGGCCGGCCAGCGAGCTGGGCTGCGTGTGCAGTTCTCGGGCACCTGCAGGCCTCTCTTCTCTCAGGCCAACCAGCGAGCTGGGCTGCGTGTGCAGTTCTCGGGCACCTGCAGGCCTCTCTTCTCTCAGGCCCGCCAGCGAGCTGGGCTGCGTGTGCAGTTCTCGGGCACCTGCAGGCCTCTCTTCTCTCAGGCCAGCCAGCGAGCTGGGCTGCGTGTGCAGTTCTCGGGCACCTGCAGGCCTCTCTTCTCTCAGGCCAGCCAGCGAGCTGGGCTGCGTGTGCAGTTCTCGGGCACCTGCAGGCCTCTCTTCTCTCAGGCCAGCCAGCGAGCTGGGCTGTGTGTGCAGTTCTCGGGCACCTGCAGGCCTCTCTTCTCTCAGGCCGGCCAGCGAGCTGGGCTGTGTGTGCAGTTCTCGGGCACCTGCAGGCCTCTCTTCTCTCAGGCCGGCCAGCGAGCTGGGCTGTGTGTGCAGTTCTCGGGCACCTGCAGGCCTCTCTTCTCTCAGACCAGCCAGCGAGCTGGGCTGTGTGTGCAGTTCTCGGGCACCTGCAGGCCTCTCTTCTCTCAGGCCGGCCAGCGAGCTGGGCTGTGTGTGCAGTTCTCGGGCACCTGCAGGCCTCTCTTCTCTCAGGCCGGCCAGCGAGCTGGGCTGTGTGTGCAGTTCTCGGGCACCTGCAGGCCTCTCTTCTCTCAGGCCAACCAGCGAGCTGGGCTGTGTGTGCAGTTCTCGGGCACCTGCAGGCCTCTCTTCTCTCAGGCCAACCAGCGAGCTGGGCTGCGTGTGCAGTTCTCGGGCACCTGCAGGCCTCTCTTCTCTCAGGCCAGCCAGCGAGCTGGGCTGCGTGTGCAGTTCTCGGGCACCTGCAGGCCTCTCTTCTCTCAGGCCAACCAGCGAGCTGGGCTGTGTGTGCAGTTCTCGGGCACCTGCAGGCCTCTCTTCTCTCAGGCCAGCCAGCGAGCTGGGCTGCGTGTGCAGTTCTCGGGCACCTGCAGGCCTCTCTTCTCTCAGGCCAGCCAGCGAGCTGGGCTGCGTGTGCAGTTCTCGGGCACCTGCAGGCCTCTCTTCTCTCAGGCCAGCCAGCGAGCTGGGCTGTGTGTGCAAGTTCTCGGGCACCTGCAGGCCTCTCTTCTCTCAGGCCAACCAGCGAGCTGGGCTGTGTGTGCAGTTCTCGGGCACCTGCAGGCCTCTCTTCTCTCAGGCCAACCAGCGAGCTGGGCTGTGTGTGCAGTTCTCGGGCACCTGCAGGCCTCTCTTCTCTCAGGCCGGCCAGCGAGCTGGGCTGTGTGTGCAGTTCTCGGGCACCTGCAGGCCTCTCTTCTCTCAGGCCAACCAGCGAGGACTGGTGTGCAGTCTCGGCGCCCGCGGCTCTCTAGGCAGCCACGAGCTGGGCCTGTGTGTGCAGTTCTCGGGCACTCTGCAGGCCTCTCTTCTCTCAGGCCAGCCAGCGAGCTGGGCTGCTGTGTGCAGTTCTCGGGCACCTGCAGGCCTCTCTTCTCTCAGGCCAGCCAGCGAGCTGGGCTGTGTGTGCAAGTTCTCTGGCACCTGCAGGCCTTCTTCTCTCAGGCCAGCCAGCGAGCTGGGCTGCTGTGTGCAGTTCTCGGGCACCTGCAGGCCTCTCTTCTCTCAGGCCAGGCCAGCGAGCTGGGCTGCGTGTGCAGTTCTCGGGCACCTGCAGGCCTCTCTTCTCTCAGGCCAGCCCAGCGAGCTGGGCTGTGTGTGCAAGTTCCTCGGGCACCTGCAGGCCTCTCTTCTCTCAGGCCGGCCAGCGAGCTGGGCTGTGTGTGCAGTTCTCGGGCACCTGCAGGCCTCTCTTCTCTCAGGCCAACCAGCGAGCTGGGCTGTGTGTGCAGTTCTCGGGCACCTGCAGGCCTCTCTTCTCTCAGGCCAGCCAGCGAGCTGGGCTGCGTGTGCAGTTCTCGGGCACCTGCAGGCCTCTCTTCTCTCAGGCCAGCCAGCGAGCTGGGCTGCGTGTGCAGTTCTCGGGCACCTGCAGGCCTCTCTTCTCTCAGGCCAGCCAGCGAGCTGGGCTGGTGTGCAGTTCTCGGGCACCTGCAGGCCTCTCTTCTCTCAGGCCAGCCAGCGAGCTGGGCTGTGTGTGCAGTTCTCGGGCACCTGCAGGCCTCTTTCTCTCAGGCCAGCCAGCGAGCTGGGCTGTGTGTGCAGTTCTCGGGCACCTGCAGGCCTCTCTTCTCTCAGGCCGGCCAGCGAGCTGGGCTGTGTGTGCAGTTCTCGGGCACCTGCAGGCCTCTCTTCTCTCAGGCCAGCCAGCGAGCTGGGCTGTGTGTGCAGTTCTCGGGCACCTGCAGGCCTCTCTTCTCTCAGGCCGACCAGCGAGCTGGGCTGCGTGTGCAGTTCTCGGGCACCTGCAGGCCTCTCTTCTCTCAGGCCAGCCAGCGAGCTGGGCTGCTGTGCAGTTCTCGGGCACCGCAGGCCTCTCTTCTCTCAGGCCAGCCAGCGAGCTGGGCTGCGTGTGCAGTTCTCGGGCACCTGCAGGCCTCTCTTCTCTCAGGCCAGCCAGCGAGCTGGGCTGCGTGTGCAGTTCTCGGGCACCTGCAGGGCCTCTCTTCTCTCAGGCCAGCCAGCGACGCTGGGCTGTGTCGTGCAGTTCTCGGGCACCTGCAGGCCTCTCTTTCTCTCAGGCCAGCCAGCGAGCTGGGCTGTGTGTGCAGTTCTCGGGCACCTGCAGGCCTCTTCTCTCAGGCCGGCCAGCGAGCTGGGCTGTGTGTGCAGTTCTCGAGCACCTGCAGGCCTCTCTTCTTCTCAGGCCAGCCAGCGAGCTGGGCTGTGTGTGCAGTTCTCGGGCACCTGCAGGCCTCTCTTCTCTCAGGCCAGCCAGCGAGCTGGGCTGTGTGTGCCAGTTCTCGGGCCCTGCAGGCCTCTCTTCTCTCAGGCCAACCAGCGAGCTGGACTGTGTGTGCAGTTCTCGGGCACCTGCAGGCCTCTCTTCTCTCAGGCCAACCAGCGAGCTGGGCTGTGTGTGCAGTTCTCGGGCACCTGCAGGCCTCTCTTCTCTCAGGCCAGCCAGCGAGCTGGGCTGTGTGTGCAGTTCTCGGGCACCTGCAGGCCTCTCTTCTCTCAGGCCGGCCAGCGAGCTGGGCTGCGTGTGCAGTTCTCGGGCACCTGCAGGCCTCTCTTCTCTCAGGCCGGCCAGCGAGCTGGGCTGTGTGTGCAGTTCTCGGGCACCTGCAGGCCTCTCTTCTCTCAGGCCAGCCAGCGAGCTGGGCTGCGTGTGCAGTTCTCGGGCACCTGCAGGCCTCTCTTCTCTCAGGCCAGCCAGCGAGCTGGGCTGCGTGTGCAGTTCTCGGGCACCTGCAGGCCTCTCTTCTCTCAGGCCGGCCAGCGAGCTGGCTGCGTGTGCAGTTCTCGGGCACCTGCAGGCCTCTCTTCTCTCAGGCAGCCAGCGAGCTGGGCTGTGTGTGCAGTTCTCGGGCACCTGCAGGCCTCCTCTTCTCTCAGGCCAGCCAGCGAGCTGGGCTGTGTGTGCAGTTCTCGGGCACCTGCAGGCCTCTCTTCTCTCAGGCCAGCCAGCGAGCTGGGCTGCGTGTGCAGTTCTCGGGCACCTGCAGGCCTCTCTTCTCTCAGGCCAGCCAGCGAGCTGGGCTGTGTGTGCAGTTCTCGGGCACCTGCAGGCCTCTCTTCTCTCAGGCCAGGCCAGCGAGCTGGGCTGTGTGTGCAGTTCTCGGGCACCTGCAGGCCTCTCTTCTCTCAGGCCAGGCCAGCGAGCTGGGCTGTGTGTGCAGTTCTCGGGCACCTGCAGGCCTCTCTTCTCTCAGGCCAGCCAGCGAGCTGGGCTGTGTGTGCAGTTCTCGGGCACCTGCAGGCTTCTCTTCTCTCAGCCTGGAAACCTCAAGGCTCTGACCCTTCCCTCTGCTTGGCTAGCTCCTGTTCATCGTCCAGATCTCGGGGGGGGGGGTCACCTCCGGGACACCTTCCTCGATTCCCAGGTGCACCATGGAGGACTCGGTCCCGCTGGTTTGAAATTGTCTGTTTATTTGTCTCTGTCCTGCACTAGACTATAAAATGAGGGCCAGGACTGTATCTGTCAATTCACATTTAATCCTGGAACATAGTAGGTGCTCAGCAATGTGCTGGATGAATGAATGAATGAATGAATGAAGATAAATAAGAGGAAGCAATCCAAATTAAAATCACCTGAACAAGATAAAAGTGGAAAAATAGAAAGGTGCATGAAAGTCTGTGTCGCCCGGAGATCTGAGAAAAGTTCTGTGAATGAGCAACTGGACGGAAGACCTGCCCAGTGCAGCTCCCGAACAGCTGCTGCAGAGGCCGCGGCTGCAGCCTGTGTTCTGTCTCCCGCAGGCAGTGCCGGCGGTCACCCCCGTGGACGAGGAGAGCTCGGACGGCGAGCCGGATCAGGAGGCTGTGCAGAGGTAACGTGCAGCTGCGGAGCTTGCAGAGCGCCCGGGCAGCTCCCTCCAGCAGCGGAAGGTCGCCTCTGCCCCAGGGGCTGCCGGGCAGCTTCAACATGTGCGGTCTCTTTGCTCGAGCCAGGTGGCATGTTCCTCCCGGTGGAAGTCACAGAAGACTACCCAGAAAGTTTTATTTCCATAAGTTCCATTAAAAGTCCCCCAAGTGACAGCAGTAACTATGAGAACTTTCCTCTCCTCCCACCACCTTGTCTCCTGCCTTCAGACTGCAGCTCTGACTGCACCAGATGCCAGCCTGCACCTGCTGCAGGAGCTGCTCACTGTGGGGGAGAGAGGTCTGGGCTCAGGGCCCCTGCTGGTCTGCAGCTCTGACTGCGCCAGATGCCAGCCTGCACCTGCTGCAGGAGCTGCTCACTGTGGGAGAGAGAGGTCTGGGCTCAGGGCCCCTGCTGGTCTGCAGCTCTGACTGCGCCAGATGCCAGCCTGCACCTGCTGCAGGAGCTGCTCACTGTGGGGGAGAGAGGTCTGGGCGCAGGGCCCTGCTGGTCTGCAGCTCTGACTGCGCCAGATGCCAGCCTGCACCTACTGCAGGAGCTGCTCACTGTGGGGGAGAGAGGTCTGGGCGCAGGGCCCTGCTGGTCTGCAGCTCTGACTGCGCCAGATGCCAGCCTGCACCTGCTGCAGGAGCTGCTCACTGTGGGGGAGAGAGAAGTGGGGGCGCAGGGCCCCTGCTGGTCTGGCCGCGGCCCTCTGGCATGGACTCTTCCTCCCCAGGGGAACGAATGCCCTTGCACCATTTGCTGAGTGCTGCTTCGTCCCCAGTTCCAGCAGAGGAGAGGGGAGGGACTGCAGGGCCTGGCCAGGGGCAGATGCAAATACCCGCTGTGCGGAACTTTGCCGAGCAAAGCCGATCCACAGAGAGCAGCAGAGGCCCTTGGGCACGCTGTGCGTGCGTTTCCCCTGGGCTCCAGTAGCATGGCCCTCAGCTTCGTGCCTGCCCCTTGTGGGAGGTGGCGTTCTTGTTTGGGGGGAGGGGCTTTGACCAGAATCTAGCATGTGTTTTCCCAGAAATACAGGTGTTCTTCAAGATTATATGATTTCCCCTTGAGAGAAGTTGAAATAAAATGTTTTTTATGGGCTCCTGGGGAAACTTTGGGTGTCTTTATCAAATAGATATTAGACCACTAATGGCTTACTCTTTTCCAAGTTTACATGCCATTAATTACTCTATAGTCTGTTAAGTGTTTTAGCTAAAATGACACGAACACTTTATAAGAGCCTGTTGGTTTCCGGCCGGTCCTCCGCGTGAGAGCTGCGCCCCAACAGGGCCGGCCCCGGGGCGGGGGGGGGGGCGGGGGGGTGCTGGAGGAGGAGGAGGAGAGCCTGCCGCTGCGCCAGTGCCTCTGCCTCTGCCGCTCAGCCCCGAGAAGAAACCTGGTACCTTTTCCTCTTGACGCTGCTGTTTCTGCAGTCTGCTGTAACAGTCTGTAAAGTTGCAGTGGGTCCTGCTGGTGCCACGAAGAGAAATGAGGAAAAGCTGCCCCCCTGCTTCAGTTGCCCAGCAGTCTGCTTTCATCTTCTGGTCTCGGGCTCACCTTGAGCCACCTCTTTTCTTCCTGGGAGCAGCCCTGAAAGGGCGACCGCGCATCTGTTCCCAGGCCGTGAGGATGAGGCTTACCCAGACGCAGGGCGCCAGGGGGTGCGCGGTGCTCCCAGGGCTCGGTCGGAAAGACTTCAGGGGAAACACATCAGCTTGTCGGCTGTCAGCTCTTGACACTTCTGTTTTCTTGCCTTTTTCCCCAAAAATTGACTCTAAACTTTTCATGTGGTTTCATTTCTTTATCCTCTAGAGAATGTTGATTCCCAGGGACAGTACCCGTTTGTCTTCCCGGGCACGGGCAGAGGGAGGTGTCGATTCGCCGTCCCTGAGGGGAGATGTTTCTGAGACTTGCCGTGAGTGAGGACAGTCTCAGCACCTGGAAGAGGATCAGAGACATAAGTGGAACCCTTCTTAATATCTCCCTGCTCATCTTTAGGGCTCATTTTCTCTTACATTTTTTGAAATTCAGAGGGGAAAGGAAGAATAGTAAGCAGGGAGTAAGTCTTCTGTTGACTGGAACGAAACGAGGAAATCCTTCTTGTCAACCACTCTGCTCTCTTCTCTTCATTGGCTGCTCTGAGGCCCCCGGTGCCGCCCCTCGGTGGCGAGCCAGCTCCTGCTGGCGGTGGACCCCGCCCTCGCACCCACGGGCCCGCCGCAGGGAGCCCGTGCTGAGCTCTGGCGCTGCCCGTCCGAGTGCCTAGACTAGCTTCTGACGCTTCTTGCTGAGGAGCACCCTGGCTGTCCTTCCACTGTGACATGTGCTCCTGCTCCTTGCAGGTACTTGGCAAATAGGTCCAAGAGGCACACGCTGGCCATGGCCAGCCCTGCGGCCGAGATCCCACCGGACCTGCAGCGGCAGCTGGGACAGCAGCCCTTCCGTTCCCGGGTCTGGCCCCCTCACCTGGTACCGGATCAGCATCGGTGAGTAGCCACTCGAGCTCTGTAAGCTCCTTGAGGCTCATCGGACAGGCACCCTTCTGGCTAGGCAGCGCGGTGGCGGGGACGCGCAGCGAGGCCTCCAGGAGCACCCTGAGCTTCCGTCTTCACTCCTCGTGCTGAGCAGTTCAGAGCGAGCGGGGTTCTTCTTCCCTGTTACCTCATAGGCAGGCTCATTGTCTCATGGTTCTCTTAAGAGGTCAGTGGCCATGTCGATAGACTTGACCTTTCATAGCTCATCGCCCTCGAAGGAGTGAGCTTCTCTTATGCTGCCGCTGAGCAGTGAGCTCAGACACGGAGACATCGCTTTGTGAGCGGCCGAGCAGACACATCCTCTCGGATGCTGTGCTTGCGTCTCCGTTCTTCTAACCCTCTGACGGCAAGTTGCTTTCCTGGGCTCTGTCACATTTACCACTGATTTCCTCGAGGAGATAAGTTTAACCATACCTGGCCAAGAAAACTTCACAAAATTGAATCCAAGTGAGCCTGGAGCAAAGAGGAGCAACACTTGACTAGATGAAGATGGTTCTGTCCCGTGGACACCTTGGTGACTGAAGACCCCGCTGTGCTCACCCTGAGCACGTCGCCAGGCCCATGCGTCACACCCCCAGAGCCACCCTGAATTGCTAGAGCTAATTTCATTTTACTCTTTTTGAGAGGACAGTGAAAAGCATTCTTACTTGGGAAGGTTGAAAAGCAGTCAAATGTCAAAGAAATTAAGTTTGTAACTGCTGCTGTTAAATCTTGCAGCCAGTTCACACTGGCAAGCCTACAGTGTCTTGTTGTGACTGGTCACCGGGTGGCATCGGGGCTCAGCAGGCCGGCGAGCTCTGCACGGCCGAGACCTGGCTGTGCCACAGCGGAGCTGCGACAGAGGGGGATGAGCTTCACCAGTGACTGTGCATGACCTCAGGAGGAGTGGTCTGTCCAGAGCAGCGCGGATGACGAGCCTCAGATAGACTCTGGTGGCCCAGAAAGGGTACTTCTCCAAGGACGGTCTCAGGCCCGGCCCTGTCAGGTGCTGCATCGGGCACTTTGAGCAACTGCTGGAGGGCGGCCTCCCCACCTGCACGTCCGTGATTCCGATGGCTCTGAGCTCCACGCTCTCTCGCGTCTGTCTCCTCCTCCACAGCCTGCTCAGCTGCAGCCCGGGGCGCCCTTGTGGAACTGCAGTGTTCCTCAGGAGGAATTGGGATGGAGGAGCGAGGATGGGCAGTCCCCACGGTTAGCCTTCGCACGGACCCCGCGTCCTGTTCACATTGGTTACGGGAAGACCACCTGCCCGCGGTCACTGTCAGGCCTTGCCTGCTGTCTGCTCTCCCCGGCGCGAGCCGGTCCGGATGGAGAGGTGCTCTATGGGGCAGAGTGCCGGACATGTCTCGCTGGGGCTCCTGTGGAAATAGGGCGACACGGAGGCCGAAATTGTCTTCAGGGGAAAATGGACATTTTCCAAGGCCGTGGAACACTTCAGTGGTGGCCCAGATGGAGCACTGCTTTCTTTTATTTTCCTGGAGGAGACGACTCAGGAACAACATGTATATATTTTCTTCTGGGGTGTAAGAGATGAAAACTAATATTGAGACAAAAGAGGACAAAAGTCTGATCGACCTTTCTAATTTCGGAAGTATGTACTTTAAAATGTTCTTAAGTCTAATTCTTTTAAAAAACCTAACACAAGATGGATATTATCTAGGTGGGGAACTGATTCTTTTTGAGAAGTGTAGTGGCAGCATTAGCCTGATGGGAAACTGTCTTGAGTTTGAACATGATTGTTGATAAAAATAAAACACAGTTGATATTATTCATGCTTCCAAAATGAGCAACGACATCAGAACTGTCCCCAGAAGTGGCTGTGCTGGGTGACCTGGGTGCTGGGCTGGAAGAGCGCGGGCGCCCTGGACCGAGGGGCTCCGACGGGGAGGAGCGTGTCCCGCAGCAGACGGTGCTCACGGCCCGCGGAGCAGCTTTCTGAGCGAGTCAGCGATGTGGCCACGATCAGAAAACATGGAAGTGTGAGAATCAGATTTAGGAGAAAGTAGTGTTTGCTTGCTTTAGCTCCAAACACCTGAAGTCAAAACAGATCAGCAGTGGAGGACGTGCCTGAGAGCAGCCCTCACGACCACCGTTTCTGGGGCGTGTTTGCCAAGATCACTTGTCTTTTGTGTTACTGAAACAGATGCTCGTTCATGCCCGTTTCATGGACTCACGACTGGCAGGTGTCGGTGGGTCTGAAACGGGAGTCATCGGGGGACGGCTTCCGTCTGCTGCCAGCACGGCCATCAGACCCTCCCCAGGCCTTGTAACTGAACTCGCGTGTTAACCTGTTTCCTGGCCTCGGTTCGGCTTCAGTCCAGAACGAGGACCTGGCACGGGCGCATTGTCTTGCCCAAAGCTCAGTGTGATAGCAGCTGCCCTGGGTGTGAGCCCAGATCTTTCTTCAGCTGTCTGCAGCCTGTGTCTGCTCAGCCCTAAGACCTCCTCCTGAGTAGGTGACGAGCGGAGCTGTTCGCCACGGCCCGTCGCAGGCGTCCTTGTCACCAGTGCTGCTCTCTGTCAGCAGAGAAGCCCTGTCGTGGTAGCTAGCCTCATTGGCGTTGGCCAGGTGTGTGCAGGGTCTTGTGACCCATATTCCTTAAGAATGTGCTGTCTTGCTCGGCCGGTCGCTCAGTGGTTGAGCGTCGACCCTGCACCAAGAGGTCTCTGGTTTGATTCCCGGTCAGGGCACATGCCCAGGTTGTGGGCCTGATCCCCAGTGGGGGGCGTGCAGGAGGCGGCCAGTCGATGTTCTCTCTCATCGATGTTTCTGTCTCTCTCCCTCTCCTGTCTTCTCTCTCTAAAACAAATTTTTAAAAAAGCACTGTCTCCATCTGGGGATCGGAAGTCCCCACTGCCTTCCACTTTCTAGCCAGAACCTGTGGGCGCCAGGCCAAACGATGCCACCAAGCTGGCTGCCGTCTCCTTCCGGTCGCACAGAGCTTATGCCCAGGGACTGCGGGACAGCGAGGCGGGTTTCTCGAGGCACTAGACAGGCGTGGTGATAAGAGTCCTCCTGCAGCTCGGCCTGAGGGGTCCCTAGAAGCTCTTCTCTCCTGCTAGGGCATTTATGAGGACTGGGTGCAGTTGTCCCAGGACAGGGCCTCCCTGGGCTTGGACACGAAGCCCACCCAAGGTAAGAGGAAGTGGAAGGCGGGCACCTGGAGCCCCTGAGAGGAAGGCAGGCTGGGCGGTGCCAGCTCCGGGAGGCCGCAGGGCAGCAGCCGTCCGCTGCTCAAGTGGAACTGTGGTCCAGGTGGTTTGTCCGAACCGAGTCCTACCCTGACCTTCTCTTCCCGTGTGTTCAGCTCCACCTACAAGGACTCCAACACCCTGCACCTCCCTACCGAGCGCTTCTCCCCTGTGCGCCGGTTCTCAGATGGGGCCGCAAGCATCCAGGCCTTCAAAGCTCACCTGGAGAGGCTGGGCAACAACAGCAGCATCAAGCAGTTGCAGCAGGTAATGCAGGAGGTGGCGGGCATGTCTGGAGGAGCGGGGTGCAGACCCCTCCCCTCCCGCAGCGAGCTGCGGCTTCCCAGGTGCTCTTCGTTCGCCTGCGTGCGCTTTCCCGGGTCAGACTCGCTTGCCCGTGCGGGGCTGTGCTCCTCCTGCCTCTGCAGCTCACGAGAGAGGCGGCTCTGGGCCTGGGGTTCAGTGGGAAGGCCCAGGGAAGGGAGTGAGCAGCCCTGGCATCCCTCTCGGAGCGGGCACCGGGTCTGGTGGGCACTTGCCCTGCACGGTCGCTGCCTGGCGTTGCTGCAGTTGGCAGGGAGCGGTGCTGGGGGGGGCGGGGGGGGTCCGGCTTCTGAAAGGGCCAGCCTCCTTCCTGCCTTCCTGACGGCCAGGCTTCGGGTGCGTGTTCTTGGCGCAGACCTCACACCGGACACTCCACTGGCACACAGCCCGTCCTGGTGTTTTCCGTTAGTCCGTGCGGAACAGTGTGACCAGATCGGCACACAAACACCTGTGTCCGTGGGTGGGTGCTCCTCAGGGACACTGTTCTCTTGCGGCTTTCTGTCCGCGAGGCCTTGGGGCAGATCCGCCCTGCTGACATGACTGGGGGCTGGCTGCATCCCCTGTGTGAACTGCTTTCCCTTCAGGAGTGTGAGCAGCTGCAGAAGCTGTATGGGGCGCAGATGGACGAGCGGGCCCTGGAGCAGACTCAGCAGCAGCACCTGCTGTACCAGCAGGAGCAGCACCAGCAGGTTCTGCAACAGCAGATGCAGGTCAGCCGCCACGCCGGGCGCTCGAGCGGTGCCTGCCCCGCGCCGCGCGCTCCAGCGGTGCACTTTGCGCGGGTGCCTGCCTGCGGGTTTTAGGAGATCGTGCGGGCGAGGTGGACTTAGGTGATGTTTATGGTTGACGTGTTTGGGTAAAGGTAATCAAACTTTTTGATGAACAACAAAAGCATAAGTCTCAGTTACAGATGGTTCTTTGTCTCCTTCCTGAGAATAGCTGGTGTCGATCCCAGGCTCAGTGATTCCCTGTGTGTTTCAGGATTCCGTCTGCCCTCCTCAGCCCTCTCCACCTCTGCAGGCTGCATGTGACAGTCAGCCCGCCCTCCTCACCCACCAGCTCCAGAGGTAATGAGCCACTGTGTTTCACGCCTAAGCCATTGTCTCTGTAGCTTGGTGCCCTTGGTCTGACTCATGGGGGAGATTCTGACTGACTCCAGCTTCCGTCTTGGGAAGCAGTTTGGAGAGCAGAGACTGATGTAAATTTCGGCTGCCTCCTTGGACCCCGGACGCCCGTGCCGCTCATTTCCGTGGCCTGTGAGCAGAGCCATCCAGTGTCTAGTACAGGAGGCCAGGGCCAGGCCCACCGTGACCTCTCCTCTTTGGGGGGTCTGGTAAAATCATATACGAATAGGTTTGAAAATAATATGTGGTGGGTGGTTTATGTATGTTTTTGTAGCCTGGAGACTTAATCAAAACTAAGAAAATAGCCCTGGCTCTTGTGTCTCAGTGGTTAGAGCATCAGCCCATGTGCTGAAGGGTCATGGGCTTGATTCCCAGTCAAGGGCATGTACCTGGGTTGCAGGTTCAATCCCCAGCCCCGGTCGGGGTGTGTACAGGAGGCAACCAATACATATGTCTCTCACATCGATGTCTCTCTCCCCCCTCTCCTTCTCTCCCTTCGACTCTCGCTAAGATAAATCAATGGAAAAAATATCCTCAGGCGAGGATTAACCCCCCAAAAAGTTTCTGCTTATATACCTCATATGGCTGAAGCTAACTTCCAGGTTATAGTGTCACCTCAGGAACTGTACTTACCTGGTTTTGTTGTTTTTTAAGGTTAAGGATTCAGCCTTCAAGCCCACCGCCCAACCACCCGAACAACCATCTCTTCAGGCAGCCCAGCAGCAGCCCGCCCCCGATGGGCGGCGCCATGGCCCAGCCCCACGGTGAGTGCAGGGCGCCAGCCCGGGAGCCACGGGCCCACGCGGCACAGGTGTGAGGGCCACAGCAGTGGGTCTGGTGGTCAAGGGTGTGGGCTCGAGCCAGGCTGATTGGTTTGAATCCTGTCCCCAGACGACCCCAGGACCGTGTGAAGCCTCAGAGAGGTTACTCGGTTCCAGTTGACCTCAGCTTCTCCATGTAGAACAGGGATCCTGAGCGAGATGATGAAGGAGCAGGTGCACTGCAGGTCTCTGCACTAAGCAGTTCTCAGTAAAGGTCACCTGTTCATGTTTCATTTTGTTGTTTTTTCTTTTTTAATTATTTTTTCTTTATTAATATATTAGAAGAAGGGAGAGGGAGAGAGAGAGATGGAAACATAGATGAGAGAGAACATTGATTGGCCGCCTCCTGCACGCCCCCCACTGGGGATCAGGCCCACAACCTGGGCTTGTGCCCTGACTGGGAATTGAACTGGCGACCTCTTGGTGTAGGGTCAACACTCAACCACTGAGCCACACTGGCCGGGCCCTGTTAATGTTTTTAATAAAACACCCTGCAACTCTACCAAATAAAAGCTGCTACCGAGCTCCTTGCCGTGCCTCTGAGTCTCCGCCGTGCGCTCCCTCTTCGGAGTTGGGCGGGGTGAAGATGAGCACACCCCAGTGAGAAGGGTCTTTGGAGACCAGCCCTGTGAGGATTGAGTATTCCAAAAATTGGTCATCTCCTGGATGATCTGGATCCCCTGAAGAGTCTGATCAGTCTCTAGTCTTATACTCAGAGTGGGTTCCCTGACCAGCAATACCAGCATGAAAGACACTCTCAGGTCCCATCCCAGACCTGCTGCCTCAGAGTCTGCATTTAAGTGAGACCCAGGCCCTTGGCATGCATGTCAGAGTCTGAGACACGCTGCTCCGAATCAGCGCTGCCCGGAGGGGTCCATGGCCCCACTGTCGGAGCAGCTTACTGGAGACAAGTCCCGGCGCCCCCTGACCTGGGGTGCCAGGGTGGGGCCAGCGTCCCTTGGAACCAGCCCTCACACGAGCCCCAAGCACTCCGAAGGGCAAGGGCATGGCTCTGGGTGGCTTGCTGTGCGGTGTCCTCAGTGGTGCCCGTCACTTGGCAGCTAGCAGCCGCCTGGACGGTGGTCACCCCGAGACTCCTTCTCCCCAGGTGCTGCGTCTCCGCCTCAGCTCCAGGGCTTGCCCCCCCGCAGTGCCATCTTCCAGCAGCCCGAGAGCTGCTCTCCTCCTCCCAGCGTGACCCTCACCTGCTTGGGCATCCAGCAGCCGGCCCAGTCACCGCAGGTGACCATCCGCGTACAGGAGCCCGTCGACATGCTGAGCAACATGCCGGGGACCGCTGCGGGCTCCGCGGGGCGAGGCGCCTCCATCAGCCCCAGCGCCAGTCAGATTCAGATGCAGCACCGTGCCAACCTGATGGCCACCCTCAGCTACGGGCACCGGCCCTTGTCCAAGCAGCTGAGCGCTGACAGTGCCGAGGCCCACAGGTACGGCCACCTGCAGCCCCCGCCAGCTAGGAGGGAGGGAGCCCTTAGCAGGGCTCGAGGGGGGGAGGGAAGAAGAGCGGGTCCGACTGGGCTGTGCTCAGTCCGCCCTTTCTAATCGGGGGGTGGGGGGAGCTTGGGACCTCTCTGTTGACCAGCTAGGGGATCAGAACGCTACTGAGACGAGGGAGGAGGCTGCCGAAGCTGTCTCACTATTTGTCTGCAAAGAGGAGAGTGCCTGTTAGAGAAGTCTGCGAAGTGCCAGCTTCCCTGTCTGTTCTGAAGGCTCCTTCCCTCCCTGCCGCTCGAGTCCGAGACCTTGGTGCTTCCGGGTAGCTCCAGCCAGGGTGGCAGAGAGTTGCTCCCTCCATCCTGGAGCGGGGCCTACACACAGGGCCCTGGTCCCCGGATGGTGCTGGGTGGGGCGCAGGGGAGCGAGGCGATGCGCCGCCTCTGGGGGTGCCGGCACTCACTACCTTTTGTGTCTGCAGCTTGAACGTGGATCGGTTCTCCCCTGCTAACTACGACCAGGCGCATTTACACCCCCACCTGTTTTCGGACCAGTCCCGGGGTTCCCCCAGCAGCTACAGCCCTTCACCAGGAGTGGGGTTCCCTCCAACCCAAGCCCTGAAAGTCCCTCCGCTTGACCAGCTCCCCACCTTCCCTCCCAGCGCACATCAGCCATCTCCCTACACCACGTCAGCCCTGCAGCAGGCCCTGCTGTCCCCCACGCCGCCAGACTACACCAGACACCAGCAGGTGCCCCACATCCTCCAAGGACTGCTGTCCCCCCGGCACTCGCTCACCGGCCACTCGGACATGCGGCTGCCGCCGGCAGAGTTCGCGCAGCTCATTAAAAGGCAGCAGCAGCAGCAGCAGCAGCAGCAGCAGCAACAGCAGGAGTACCGAGAGTTGCTCAGGCACATGAACCAGGGGGATGCAGGGAGTCTGGCTCCCGGTCTTGGGGGACAGAGTATGACGGAGCACCAGGCTCTACCGTATCAGAATGCTGACTCCTATCACCACCACAGCCCCCAGCATCTCCTGCAGATCAGAGCGCAAGAATGTATCTCACAGGTCTCCTCGCCCAGCCCGACCCACGGTTACGCCGCGCCGCCGGCACTCCTGCCCCCGGAGAGCATGGAAGAGGAGTGCTCGTGCGAGGGGCCCAAGGGGGGCTTTCCGGACAGGAAGGGCTCCAGGGCGCTGGCCAAAGGCTGTCCGGACAGCCCCCTGCTCTTGAGCACTGGCGGACCTGGGGACCCCGAATCTTTGCTGGGAACTGTGAGCCACGCACAGGAGTTGGGGCTGCATCCCTACCGGCGTCAGCCAGCTGCTGCATTCAGTAGAGAGAAGGTGTCCAGCCGAGGTAAGCGTCCCTTCAGAGTAAAAGGCCTGGACCACTGGGCTCCAGTTCAGTCAGCTGAGTGATGTTATCTCTCCCCACTGGTACTCTGCGTTCCTTCGAGAGACCGTTCCAGAGACGACCCCAGGACCCCCCGGACCGTGTGAGGGAGAAGCCTGTGGGGAGTGGGTATGGGTCGGTAAGGGGTCTATTTTCAAAATTAAAAGATAGTGATAGGAAATTAACAATTAGAGCCCTAGCCAGTTTGGCTCAACAGTAGAGCGTCGGCCTGAGGACCAGTGAGTTATGGGTTCGATTCCAGCCAAGGGCACATACTTTGGTTGCAGTTCATCCCCAGCCCTGATCATGGTTGCGCAGGACGCAACCAGTCGATGTTTCTCTCCTTCCCACTCTGTCTGAATATAAATAGAAAAAAATCCTCAGGTGAGGATTTTTTTTAAAAAGTGAAAATTAACAATTAGTACAATCAGTAAGATATTCTATTTCGCAAGTTCATACCTTATTTTTTAGCTTCCAGAATTTCTTGACTTTTTTCAAACTAGCCAACTTTAACTTCTACAATAAAAAAAGTCACTGAGTGGCAAGGAAATAATGATTTAGTATGAATAGCATCGTACTGAAGTCAGAGCATCGGCCCTGGATGGGCTCTGTCACCGACGCACTGGCCTGTCACAACCCTGGGGTCTCCTCACCTGCGGAGCAGGGCAGCGGGGCTTCGTGGGGCATTTGGAAAGATTAACACGCGTGTGCGCGCGTCTGTGCGTGTGTGTGCGCGCGTGCGGGCATGCGGGAGAGGTGCGTCCCGAATGTGTGGTGTGCCTGTGAGGCGTTCTGATCACTCTGTTAAGAACCTGGGTTCAGCCCTGGCCGGTTTGGCTCAGCGGATAGAGCGTCGGCCTGCGGTCCAGAGAGACCTGGGTTCGGTTCCCGCTAAGGGCATGTACTTCGGCCCTGCAGTTTGTCCTTGGCCCTGGTTGGGTCGTGTGGGTGGCAGCCACTCGATGTGTCTCTCTCACATCAATGTTTCTCTCTCTCTCTCTCTCCCTCCCACTCTATCTGAACAAAAATGGGAAAATGTCCTCGGGTGAGGATAAAGAAGAAAAAGAACCTAGCTGCAGACGTCTGCAGCATCGGGCCCCCTGGTGTCTGTCTCATTTGTGTTCTTTGTGATGAGCGAGCGCATCCCTTTTGTCCTGAGGGAGTGGTACTGCCGCCAGCAGGTCGTGCTCAGAAAGCATCGCTCCATTCGCATCATGACGTTCATCCGAAACAAAGTCTGGACTGGTGTCCACGCGCGTCGCAATCGTGGGCAATGAGTGTCCATAAACTAGACGACCCCGAGCTGGGCAATTCTTACATCCTGCCCTTCTTGGAGCTACCTGCCTCTCCTGCTCTGCCCTTGAGCATCAGCACACAGTTCAGCTCCTTGGGGAGCTGGGTCCCACGCCCAGGGCAGGGGCGCCCTGCTCCCTGCACCATGTGAGGAGGCCTGGTTCCTTCCGGCGTGCTCCCTGCGGTGAGGGCGGTCAGTCCTGGGCCTTCGAGCAGCGGGTGCCGCCGCTCGGGGGTGCCCCGCGGGGGTGCCGTGTCCACCTGTGGCGGCTGTATTTTAGGATGGTGGGAGGTTTCAGAGCCAGGTCAGAGGGGAATGGCTGACCTACCTGGGGACGTTTACTCTCAGGGGAATTACTCTGCCTGTCGGGTGGAAGAAGGGATTTGATTTTTCTGGGTTCATATTGGGGGCAGAACCAAGATCGGAAGAGAGGTGACAGCAGATGTCAGCTGGCAGGGTGGGGGTGCTGGGGGAAGGCTCCCTGTGTAGACCGAGCTTTCGCTCCAAGTGTGCGAGAGGAGTTTTTCTGTAGAGGCAGCAAGTGCTATTGTATATAAACTCACTTAATCCTCCCAGCAACCCAGTGTGGTAATGACTCCCAATTATCCTCGTTCTATCAGGGAGACAGCTGAGGCACAGATTAAGTACTTTGCCCCACGGTCAGCAGCCAGTAAGTGGCGTCTGAAGCCAGGGGGCATTCAGGCCACTGCAGCAGGTACATCCTGAGCATGTCCTTGGTGTGTGCGGCTCCTGGGGGAGAGCACGCTGGGCAGCCTGTGCAGCCCACCCCACCCTGGGCGTCCACGCACTGAAACGCCTTTCGAGATGTTCTGTTCAAACACTTCTCTCTGAGTTCTCGTTTCCCCTGGTCTGACCCCTGTGCAGACAGCTGGGGGGCTTGAGCTCACCTGTGCCCCATCGTCGTCAGGAGACCGCTCCGTGGGCTTGCTGGTCTGTCTGCTTAGTGCTAAAGGGACACGTGGGAGTTCCGGGGGGCACGTCTCTCCCGGAGGAGCTGGGTGGAGGCCATCTGGCCTGGGCGAGAAGCATGGGGAAAGACCAGTGGGTACGTCTCAGGTGTCGGGGGCAGGACAGGCGGGCGTGGATGCTCGGAAGAGTCGTGTACGTGAGGTGTTCGCAGAAGCTCAGGGCGGAGGCTCTCTGCGACCTGGAGGAGGACTGAGACCCAGCTGCGGGGGTGGGGGCGTTCACGCAGCTCTGCTGCCAGCTGAGTCAGTGCCAGTCTGTCCGCAGGGCAGCCAGGCCCCTCCTGTACATCAAAGGCCTGAACTCCCTGGTTCCTCCGCAGGCCTCTGCTACTTCCTGGCGCAGCACTGTCGTCGCCTGTCTCCTCCGCCTCCTGCTCCCCACCTTCTCACACCATCTCTCTTTTCTTTTCTTTTTTTTTTATCCTCACCCGAGGACACTTTTGTGTTTATCTTCAGATAGAGCGGGAGGGAGAGAGGGAGGAAGAGAGAGATAGAAACATTGATGTGAGAGAGACGCCCACACAGCCCCAACCGGACAAACCGCAACTGAGGCACGTGCCCTTAGCAGGAACCGAACCGGGTCTCCCTGGTCCCCAGGCTGACGCTCTAACCGCTGAGCCAAACCTGCCAGGGCTCGCACCGCCACCATCTCTCCCGCCACCCCACAAACATTGCTGAAGGTTTCAGCTCAACTCCCCCGGCCTTGTTGCTTGTCATCCGCTTTGCAGGTGTCTTTCCCCCGAGTCCTCTTTGTCGTACGAGCTGTTTTCTGATCTTCGGTGGTTTGGGCTTTGCCAGAGCTGCGGTCTTGGCTCCTGCCAGTGTCTCCCAGGAGCTTCCTTCCTTCTCTCTACCCCGTTGACTCCGAATTCTTCTCTACAGACTGTGCCTCTTTTTGCTTGAATGCTCTTCACCTTTTTCTAACATCTCCCAGTTTGTGACTTTTGGAGCCACACACATTTATCTTTAACAACTAAAGCCACCGATTATTACTGTGTTTAGAATCCAGTGTCGTAAAATAATGCACTAGGGAAGCTAATGGTCTCAGGAACCCAGTGCTGCTCAGGAGTTAAAGTCCCTCTGGACAGGTGTGTCTGTTTACAATGGTCTCGTATTCTGGGACCCGCTCGCTCTTACCCTAGGCGATCACTCTGCGCCCATGGCTGCGGGGCCTCTCCCTCCCTCTGTGAGTCAGGGGTGGTAAGCTCAATGCCCCCGAGAGACGGAGAATGGAATTAATGTTTGCGGTTGGTCTGCTCCAGGTGTGGTGCTTTTAACTCATTTCTTTTCATGACCACCCTGGGATGGATGTGATCCCTTTTACAACAGGAACTGAGACTCCACAGTCTCCCTGCTTCACCCTGACACGGTTTTTTCTGTTGTTTTAAAAACTTGAGAGCTCCCGGCTTCCCATTGCCAAGAATCTGCTGTCCTTTGTCGAGAAAGGGTTGTGACCCCGCCACCACCTGCAGGCGAGCAGGGTAGGCTCACCCTCGACCTGCTTCTGTCTGGACGGAGGGTGCTGGCTGTTTCCTTCCGTGACACTTCACCTCTGTGCGGTCACCTGCGGGTCCCCACACTGCCTCTCGTCTCCACGGGAGAGCAAGTGCAACGAGACTGCGGGGCGGCTGGGTCGGGGCCTGCGGCAGGTGCGTGTGGACCGCAGGCAGACCGCTGAGATCTGTGAGTGTCTCAGGGGTAGGCGCACGGCCCCTGCGTCAGCCGGGAGCATCACAGCGGGGTGTGGTCACCGGGTCTCCACGGCTGTCCGCTGTGGTCAGCGTGAGGCCAGGTGCGCCCGGGCGGGGCAGGCAGCACGGGCCCCTGCGTCAGCCGGGAGCATCACAGCGGGGTGTGGTCACCGGGTCTCCACGGCTGTCCACTGTGGTCAGCGTGAGGCCAGGTGCGCCCGGGCGGGGCAGGCAGCACGGGCCCCTGCGTCAGCCGGGAGCATCACAGCGGGGTGTGGTCACCGGGTCTCCACGGCTGTCCGCTGTGGTCAGCGTGAGGCCAGGTGCGCCCGGGGCGGGGCAGGCAGCACGGGAAGGCTTGTCTGCGGCGTGTAGGCGCCTCTGGCCGGGCGTGCTCCGTGCTGCCGGCTGCCCCTCCAGAGATGGGATTACGACTTGTCTTCTGTACATGATTTCTTCTTTACTTTGCAAGTAAGTGGATGGCCAGTTCACACAGCGAGGTCACTTAACTCACTTAAACTCTCAAAGAAAACCACATGCTGCCCTGGCCAGTTTGGCTCAGCGGTTAGAGTGTCGGCCTGTGGTCCAGAGAGACCCGGGTTCGGTTCCTGCTGAGGGCATGTACCTTGATTGCAGTTTGTCCCCGGCCCTGGTTGGGCTGTGTAGGTGGCAGCCACTCGATATGTCCCTTTCACGTCGCTGTTTCTCTCTCTCTCTCTTCCTCTCTCTCCCTTCTACTCTGTCTGAACAAAAAAATGGAAAAATGTCCTCGAGTGAGGATAAAAAACAAAATTAAAACCACATCCTCTGCTCTGAGCCAAATTGGCCTCACCAGTGTCCGTGGGCCGGGCCTCAGGGAAATGACAGGCTCGGAGGGCTCACCCCGCAGAACCTCTAAGGAGCACACGCACACATGTCATTTCTCTCGTCTTCTTCTTGCAACACAGTGAGTGAGGAAGGACAAGTCGACAGTGACAGATTCAAAAGAAG